AAAAGATGCCTGCAATGCAGATGACAAAGGCTCACACCCAGAATGTAAGGGGCACCTATGAATTGGTTAAAAAAAAAAGATATTTCAAAAGACAAATGGACAAAGTTGGTAAACAGCAGAGCTAAAGCTCTCATCTGAAGTCTTACTTTATTTCACTTTAAAAAAAGGATCACTTCAGTTATTTGTAATGCTGTCACCTAACAACAATGACAGTCACTTTTTACGTCTTGGTCTTGGAAGAAAATCTTCCAACTTCTTTTCTTTTTTTGGGGGGGAGGCTAATAATCTTCCCCATAATAATGATAATAATAATATGTATGTAATTTCTTGTGATTACATAAATCAGATTTTACCAAATACACTATTTTGTTATCTTTTTCCTATAATTTAGCTAAACAAACAAACAAACCTATTGCACAGATTATAACTAACACGAGTTCCCTGTAAAAGCTTTAGAAGAGTCCCGATATTCACATGCAACATGTCCACGTGTGTCTGCTTCCCCACACCCTCACCAGCACTGAGGACAGGTCTCTGGTTCAGACTCACAGATGGTAATCAGAAAACCTCCCTCTGGCTTCCTTTAAGCAACGAGAACAAAGAAACTGAGAAGCAGTAAAATCATGAGGAAATAGAAATGCCGGGGGATGAAAAGGGTGTGGGAAGGAGTTTAAAGAAGAAACAAGTGGCTGAAAACGAACAAAGGAACGAGGAAATGGGAAGGGGGTTAAATACAAAAAAAGTAGGGCGTCTTTCAGGAATATTCTTGTTAACCAGGTCATGACTCTGAGACAAGCAGACTAAAGGCGCAGGAGCAAGATGTAGTTTCTGATGTCATAACGTGACTAAGAGTCGATAAAAGAGGGCTAGGGTGGGTCCCCCTGAGACCGGGTATCTTAACCTAAGCTCTTACTTTAACTACTTACAAGTTTCCTTCAGCTCTTTCCTTTGGAGTTCGAATTTCTTCTCCTCAATTTTTAGCCACTCTTCCCCCACTGAAGTTGAATTCTATCCGGAAAAAAATTTTTTTTTTCCAAACCTCACTTGGAGTTTTTAGAGCGGAACAAAGTACATGTTTCACACTTTTAAAGAAAATGTTCAGACTTTGGTTGCAGCTGAATAACTTCAAAATGGCTTCATTTTAAAACTTAGAGAAGAAATAAACATCTGAAGGGAATGCATTTTTTTAGACAATTTAAGATGGTTTAAAATCACAAGAACAATTCAGGAACTCTGAATTACTACAGCATCTCTGGCTGGCCTGTTGTAGGTAGAGCAAGAGCTTAGACAGGCAAGAGGGGTTTCACCTCCCCGCAGGGCAGGGTCTTCATTCCACTGCTGTGCTCTCGGCCACCTCTAACAACTCCTCTTGCTTTCCCTCTGACTTTGTCCTTAGCTTCTAGAAGATGCCATAAAGCAGGGGAAAGAAAGCTTGTCTAGAAGAGCAGAGAACGGGACCCTGCATGAACTTGGCCATGGGCCTTAATCTCTCCATTCTTGCATCCTCAGCAAAGCTGGTCTCACTTCATGGGAGGTCAGCTGCTGAGATCCAAATGAGTAACGGTTTAAATTAGTTCTGAACAGACAAAGTGCTAAGGTATTCTAAATATTGGCTCTCTCACTGTTCTTTTTTTTTCCCCCCTAAATCAACTGAGCAACTCCAAGAATCAGATCTGAAGGATAAATGTTTATGGGTACCAATGTTGAGGAATCCATCCCGGCTCAAAGGAGGGCCTGCGGTACAGGGAACTATCTCAATTTTTTAATAAAACTAAAACCCAATTGGTTGTGACTATTCCAAAAGGATTAATATAAATTAGAAGTGTACATTCAAAAAGAAAAGTGTTGGAGAAAAAGGTCTAAGTCTTTGGGATTCTATAAAAAGCTTGATCCGTCAGACAGTCACTGAGTCAGTAGCTGAGACACAACTCTGTAGGAGTGCTCAAATATTTCATGTAACAGAGAACCACAAAAGTAAGGACTAAAAGACAGAGTTTGGACACACACTGATAAGCTGAAATGCATTATGCCACTGCCTCCTTGTGCCCTCTGGGCTTTCAGGGGGCACTGAAATGTATGTATGAAAGAATTACAGCAGCAGAGCTGGCTCCGCGCTGGTATGTTATCCAGGGAAACTAAGACAGCAGAAGGAATATGCAGATCAACGCAGCTCTCCAACCCTGTTTATTCTCGCCCACTATTTGATAATATATATTTTCTTCCTTGGAGAAAACAAATAACGCAATTTATTCCCCAAACTCTTGGACAAAAGCATATCTACATAAACATTTTGAAGATGAATACATAAAGTTTTAAAACATTAAAAGCAAAAGCAATAATCTAAAATATTTCCCTTGGCTGCTTTTGCTTGTGGTCTGCAACACATTTTCCACAGTCCCCCAAGATAAAAGGGAGGCTGTCAGTATCCATTCCCAGGTTTTTCTCACGAATATATATCAAGGAACATACAACAAAGTCTGCTTTGGATTAAAGTTATGAACATCAGATTTCAAAATCAAGAACAAAATGTTTTAGAAGTTTATTTTAGCTTTGTCTCACCAAACCCAGAAAATCTGGGGTAAGTAGAATTCTACAATTTTGACTTTTCTTAATGATTTAAGAAAGTAAGAGGCAATGACATTTTCATATATTATTATAACTGGAAGAAAAAAAAAAGAATAAAGGACTACATCCTGACATTGAAAACTACTTTTGACAGTGTTTCCTAATTCCCAGCAGTGATGACTGTGGCTAATGTGGATGAAGTAATTAATGAGCCGTATTTTTCCTTACTATGCTTAAGATCATCTCTAATACACCATCAGGCTTGACTTGAGGTCTGAGAAAAGAACACTATAAAATTACAAGGTAGGTTTTAAAAATATTCCCAAGTGATTAGGGAGTTCTAATGAAAAATAACAGATGTATTGTTTTAATCTGTAGTGTAAGGCACCACCACAGGAATCAAAGAAACTGGGAAAATATTTGTAGATGGACATAGTGCCTATACATTGAATGACAAGCTACTGTGGAAACTTGCATTATGTGGAAACTTCACTGGATCTATGTGCTAGAATTAGCTGATGAGTTGCAAATTTCGGAGTGGTAAACTGAGTAGCATTAAATCAAAATATATTCCTTTATAAATATAATGCATTTATCTCATATAAAATGTATATTGATAAACACTTGTTTTCCTCTAGCTGTATGTAAACAGTGACATAAGAAAATTATGTGCGTGTCTTACATCTTCTTTGTAGTTGAAAATGTCTTAAATTCTGTTTCACTGGACAGCAAACTAAAGAGGAGAAACAATGACCCTCATAACTAAGGCCTTCCTCCCCCACACTGTATTCTGACAAAAGCATCTCTTTTTCCCTGAGGTCCTAAATTTAGGACAAAGTTGATTTTTTTCCTTCCATTTCCCTATCTCTTTAGGTCTCCTGCTACCAAGCACATAGTAGACGAGCCCTCAAAATAATTCCTGTCTTGATTCAACATTCAAAGAAATCAGAAACATTGTCTATGTCTGCTTCCAAAATACATACTATGTTTAAAATACTACACTCTGGATTATGGAGTATACAAAGATCAAAATACATATAGAGATGTCACGCTAAAATTCTGGCGGCGACTGCTTCACTCAAAGCTTGGTAACTGGTCTTCATGTATCTTAGCATGCTTTTCAGGCACTTTGTATTATAGCTACAAAAGGCAAATGGCTAATAAACTGATAAACCTCTCTGTTAGAAAGAAGTCCCTTAAATAGTAAGATATTTGGGGGGGAGGGGGACTTCGATTGATTCAGAAGCCCATATACTTGTAACCCAGGAAAGATTCGAAATGCACCAATAGATAACTCAGCTCTATGGGATATTGGTTCATGAACTCTTTATCAATCCTACAGACAAAAGAAATGCTACAGAGGACTGGATATGTATTTGAATGGGGATACTAACACTTGCAGAAAACTTAAAATATTGAAAAAGGACCAAGAAGCCAGAGTTCTTGTGTACCCCCCAAATGTACAAAATTTAAAGTACATTTTAATATGCCAGATCTTAATCAACTATTGGGGTATTGCACGTCTTTTTCTTGTATTAGAGGGATATTTAACACCTACTATTGGCATGTCAGTCTGCAAACTCTGCCTCTAACATGGTATCAAAGGTGTCTTCTCCACTTCCTCAACACACACACTGAACTCCAGCTCTTAAGTCAGTTTTCAGCCCCTTAATTATCCTCCACAATCAACTCTGACCCACCATGGGGACTTGATCATCCTAAAAATCCATATTTGTACTTGTTAGAATTTCATGCAATAAAGAGAAGATCACAACACTGAATCAGTTCTCCAGGTCGGCATATCAGGGATATCTTTTCAATCACTCAGCGCTTAACAGGGATGAAGTTATGCAATAGCCTACAGACTTCTATAAGAGCACAAAGGACACATTCCCCAGGACACTTCTTGGCTCCAAAACAAACTGATTTAGAGCCCAGCTGCAAAGTCACTCACATTTGCCAAGAGAGGTTGTAAGTACTCTCTGGGACCCACCCATCACACAAACAATGATTTAAGCAAAATGAAAACAAAACAAAACAGGCTGACTCACTCCCAACATTCCCCACTCCATCCTGTAGGAAGAAGGCTGTAAAATAATGGGACGACTAGCCCGGGGACTTCCTTGTTATTTTCATCTTCAGAGCCTCTGCCCTGTGTTAAAAGTATCACATAGGGGCTAATCAGACCTGAACACACAAACCTGTTCAAACGTTGGACAAAAAAGCTTACTGTTCTGAGTATATCACATACTACCATAGGGTTATTTTTGGTGAATCCCCAAATTGGTAGTCAAGAAAACAATGAAGTCAGTTTACCCCATACCCTCTCATTAACTTGTATCAGGTATGAAAATGACAATCCATTGCCTGTCCAAAGAGCACTCACCTCGTTGTCTGACTCCACGAGAACTTGGTCATATTCACTAAGCGCTACTAGAAACATGATAGAGGTGACGTTTTCAAAGCAGTGTATCCATTTTCTTCTCTCTGACCTTTGGCCCCCTACATCGACCATTCTGCAAAGTTAATAACATTCATATTAATAGCACATAAAGAAAAATATCAGTAGAAGTATAGCTTTACTTACAAACTTAGGAAATACACTCTCTAAAGAAAACAGTCCAAGTCAGTTCAATTAATATTCACTGAACATCTACTAATCTTCTGTTACCTAAGAATCAAGGTTGAGACATTCTGGGTAATAAATCATTGCAGTTATTAGAAAGTTACCTGATGTGTATAAAAATTATAACTTTGTAAAAAAGAAAAAAAAATCCTGTGCCAAGTCAAGCAGTGTTTTATTTAACTAAGCACAAAAAAGTCAGAAACAAAATGAGTTTTGTCTGTGTTAAGCTCTAATGGTAAATACTGACTTCAGTTTCTTTCCCTAGAAAATGGGAATGAAGACCCTCATGTGTTTCTCAAGGATGGTAGAAGTGACTGCAAATGCATTGAAAAGATTAAAGATAGTGTATTTTTCAATGTGGATGGGTGATGCTTCAACTAAATGCAAACACAACCCCACTGATCTTCATCAGTTCGGTAAGCTTTTTCGGCTCTTTTTTCCTTCCAATATTCACAATAATTTGGGACAGTCTGATCATATTGGTAACACGGTTCAGCTGCCCTTATGCACAAATCAACTTGCTAACGTGCTAGAAATAATGTGTATAAAACATTAAGATGTTACAAGGGTCCACCATTTGAACTATTTCAAGGATTTGTTTTTACCTGTCGACTCTGTAGCTAAGTTATGTGCTCAGGAAACACAATGACATCAGTTAATTTGAGTGCTATTGTATATATGAAAATACCTAGCAGAACTTGGCATTGAATCCAAGTTTCTTTAAATTGTTGAACTCATATGTTGACTAAAACATGCACACTGTTTATAAGACAAAATATTTTCAGAAAATGAGAGCTTTAGGTATAAAATTTTAAGAGTAGGGCTCTTTAAGCATTTTTGCAAACTGCAGTTGTTAATTTCCCTGCCTCCAAACATTAACCTAAACTAGGAAATCAAGGCTCTTTCAGTAACTGCTTCAAAAAGTTTCCTACAAAACAGGTATCTGATGGGCAAAACAGTGGCTCCAGGGAGATCTATGAACTACAGAGAACAAAACTAGAATTCGTAGATCTTTAGAAATATTAAAATTCTAGCTTTTCTCTGATGCTGAGTGAATTACATGCTCATTAATGCGAAATCCTCATTCCATGATATCCTGTCACACTAGCCCTGTAAGATGCTTTTGGTGGTAGCAAGAAATTATTCTTCTGAGACACTACTTCTGATGAAGTAACAACAACAACAAAAAAAGCCCTTTAAAAGCTAGTGCACAAAATTTAGGGAAAAAAAAAAAAACAAGACATAATAAAAAAAACCCAACCTGGTTTCAGATTTCACTAATTATAAAGCGAAGAGGAGATGAAAATCTCCATGAAATACTATATGTCTTTTGAAAATATTCTAACATGGTTACAAGTGAAAGGAAATTTGGTGTCTCAAATTAAAAATCTCTAACTGCTGTAAACTCAAAACTTAATCCAGAATGCTAGAGCGATAAGGAACCTTGGTGATTCTCGAATATAGCCATTTTATTGATTTAAAAAATGAGGCTCGGAAATACTTCCAAAACGTCACCCACTTTATGGGTCTGTCTGTTAGAGTAGCATATGGCAGCCAGATGCAACCACAGGTGCAGAGACTGATTAGAATAAAACACACAGTGCTTTGGCAAGGAATGATGGAGGACTGTTTGTCAGAGTCACACGGCAGTCACACAGTAGGAGTCACATTAACTCCTACTTCACATACTTGTATGTAGTTGTCTCAAGCGGGATGGAACTCCCAAGGAACTCAACTGTCTACACTCGCCTTCATTTCTCTATGCAACATGTAGTTTGCATCCTAACTAAAAATACACCTGAGTGCTTGTGTAATAAGAGAGTAAATGAAAGTACACCAGCATTGTTTACTTTTTCTCTTAGAATACTGCTGAGGTATTACCCAGAAAGAACAGCAGCACTGAGGCAGGAAGTGATACGTTTTCATTCTGTTTTCCTATGTAAATTTAGGCTCGGTTGACCAATCCACTTTCAAAACTATGCATTTTTAAATTTTTCAAGCAACTTATTTTAGAAATACAAAATATCTTGTATTTTTATTGCTATTGAAAAAATCTGCATTGGTACCAGAGGACTCAGACGAAACAAATGAAAGCTTCTGACAACCTATGATTTCTATTATTAATAGGCTTATAAGATCATTTATATCTTACACAAATGTAAAAATATATCCATTGGCCTCATAGTTAAAATGATTCCCAGAAAATTATAGTCAGAACCAACATTTGCGCAAACTAAACATTATGCCCACACCAGCAAACTAAGATTCCGTTGACTTCTTGGTGATTTAATCTGGAATAAGAAATCTGCCCGTATACCTTTCCTCTGCTTCCTCTTTCAGGGACACAATATCTCATTTGTGTATCTAATGATAATGACTGGTATAAAGGTGGTATTGTTTTAAAGTCTACACACGATTTCAATACTCTTAGAGTTTGCCAAATACGCTCAAGGCATAAAAGCTGGGAAGTGGATTTTTATGGACTCAGTTACTACCTGAAAATGACACTTTGTAAGTCAAAGGGGTATTCGATGATCCCTGTGGTGGGGACTCGAACTCTAAGCACATCTTGTTGCGTAGGCAGGTAGGTAGGGTCGGCAACGCGGTCCAAGTCATTAAGATAGCTGGAGGAAGGAAGACACAATGAGAACGTTAGTGACACCATCACACAGAAAAGGGAAGGGTGACAATGAATCCTAAGAGAAAAGTGACGAAAAGAAAGGAAAAAAAGGAGCAAGTGGTAGAGAAGTTCGTGAAGTGAGAGATAAAGTCAACCTTCCGTCTATGGATTACCTGGTGCATAGTAGTTCTCATTTCCTCTCTTCTTATCAAACAGAAATCATACAAGAAGTAAAGGGGAAGAAGAAAAGAAATTCAGTGCCCTCTACTTGTTTAACAGGTCTGGTGGGTAAGCAGGAGTTTAATAAAGCAAACAGTTTTTGAATTATTTATCCAAATGTTATTTGTATAAATAAACAGATAACAGAGTTACATGTGAGGTCAGGATGCATTTTTTTTGCAGAACATCAGAGCCTTTTCCTGGAATGTATTTCCCTTATTCCCCTAAGAGAGGACAGCAGCATACCATGTCCTAAACTCTGTCCAAAAGCTAAGTCATTCACAGTTAATGTGAAGCCATGAGATTTCTAGTTACCGAGACAACAACATCTAAAAGTCGGATATTCCCAGTGTATGGAGTCACCACACCTAAACTTAAAATTTATCTGTTTATATGATACTTTCTCATTAAAAAAAAAACCAACCTTTTAATTTTGAAATAATTTTAGACTCACAAGAAGTTGCAAAAATACTAGAGACGTCTCCTGTAACCTTCACCCGGCTTCCCTCAATGATAACATCTTATGTGACCACGGTACATTATCAAAACCAGGAATCTGACACTGACCCAATGCTATTAACTAAACTGCAGACCTAATTTAGATTTCACCAAGTTTTACACACACACACACATTTGGGGTGGGGTGTATATAGTTCTATGAAATTTTATCACATGTAGAGATTCATGCAATCACCACCACAAGCAGGATACAGAATTGTTCTGTTACCAAAACTTCTTTGGGCTGGCCATTCCCAACCCCAGTCCATGGCAACCACACAGATACTCTCCATCAGTATAATTCTGTCTTTTCAAAAATGTTATATTCCATTCACTTTCTGATTCTCTCAAATTACGAAAATAATTTGCAACTCTGAGAATTACATAATTTGATATAATTGATGACAAACAGGTGAAAATGACTGTTCTGTATGGCATCCTCATGATTTCAAAGAGCCACCATGTTCCCTTTGACCCTGGAGAGGATGGAGCACAGATATGATTTCAAAACATACAACAACAAAGTGTACACAGGAAGTAATCAGTACAGCCTTGGAAGGAGTTAGGTCCTCAATACGTTTATGCCCCCAAACAAGAGACAGTGAGTTCTGAGACATGTAACAGGGAGTAACCACTGTGGAGCATATTATATATAGATCAGTAAGAGCATCATCACTCAGTTGATGTGACCTACCAGGGGTAAGGACTTTGTCCCATCCACCCTCATTCCTGCGTTCGCACCTGAGAGAGCGCCTGGCAAATAGTACTTAATGGTTATTTGTTGAATGGATAGATGGGTTCCAATGTCGAGATTTAGTTTTAGCATTATTTAAATATCATTCTCACTAGTGGTGTTTCTACATTAACGATACTGTTAAATTTAAAACTGAATATTTAGAAAAATACTATATTGAGTCTTTAAGATTCATGGGATCATAAAATAGAAGAGCTAAGTCTGACTTTAACAAAGAAATAAATTACTGCCTTTTTGAAGGTCTATCAATCCTTTAAGACAAAAAAAGATTTCGTCTGGAAATTCCTACTGCAAAGCAATTAATTAGCATTCTAGTGGCCTTATCCCAAATACATCAATGATTCTCTAGTTGGTAATTAGCTCTCTACTGATTGACAGGAACCAGCCCAATATCTTTCATTATGATAAAATTGGCTAGGGGACAAAACAGGGGAGAGGCTGGGAGATTATGGGTGTGAGAGGCAGGAAGGAAATGTAAAAATGGACTGGACCCAAAATTTTAGTCAATATCTTGGCATGGTCTTGGACTTGTCTGATGGGATTAACAAGACCATGTTCTGGAAGCTGGTCTGTATCTCGTTCTATAGATACACCAGCTCATCGCTCCACAAATGCAGAGTCAACGGGCTCCTTTCATAGATGTAGCTTTCTGATTTATCGGCTCCTTGGTCTGAAAAATTTGAAGGTATATTTTGAAATCTGCAAGATCACTGTTTATTTAACTACTATATACAAAAATTAAATTCAGAGGAATCAGAGATCTTCCGATTTACACTGGCAAGCCTGTTTGGAAATATGCTGCCCGGTAAATCATTTCTACTCACTTAACCCAACACACAGAGGTCAGGACAGAAGGTGGAGAATTCTTGGACACAAGGTGCTGCTGTCTTCTGTGGTAAAGAGAAACGTGGCCATTTCACCTTTAAACACGTGTACTTACACAGGAGAATTTAAAGGATCGGCACATGATGTGGGACATTTCCTGTCACACTGCACAGTGGGAACCTTACTAGTCTCTCTCCAAGTCAGAAGGGTGGACTGAGCCCCGGGGAACACATCCTGGAGTAAGACAGAACCAGGATACGCAGGGCGGCCGAAAAGCCACAGACACGAGTCTAGAGGCTTAGTCTGCCTCTAAAAACACTGTCAGTGGTGTCTCTCCATAAACCCCAGGCACTACTAGCTGAATATCTGAAACATTCTGACTTGCAAGAATATTTCTGCCTCCTCATCTTCCTTTTGTGTCTCAATGTAAGCACAGTTTGGAGAGCAGCAGCAGAGCCTAACCATTGACTTCTACGGGGTGCCTGCGGCTTGCCGGGCTCTGCTCCGTCGTTCACTGCCCAGGTTTCAGCCCATGTGTAGGAAAGGACACGGCCACTAAAGACCCCTAGACATTTCCGAGCAATCAGAAAGTGAACTGCACTTCTTGTTCAACATTCTTTGTGACTTGCTTCAGCTGGATGCTGGAGAGAAAGGTTCACTTCACTTGGAGTAAAAAAAAAGTTACACTGATCTAGTTTAACAGAAGAAAACACTGAAGTAAACTTGTATGAAGGTTCACTAGCTGCAACGCACGTGATCTAGAATTGGAACCAGACCAAACCTCGAACACCCCAAAATGAGGCTAGAAAAGAAAACAGAACACGAACACCCCCTCAACCAAAGGACATACCAAATATCCTCTCCTAAAGGAAGGTCTGGGTGGCTCGGGAGCTACACCAGGACTGGAGACACCTTGCAGACTATTTGAGAAACGGGCAAAACACTCAGTCCGCCCAAACCAGCATTTTTCACTGGCAAGGAGAGGCCAGGGTGGAGAGCTTCCACCTGCGTAAGCCCCAACCTGATGCAGCCCCCTCATTCTGGGCTTATGGGACGTGGAGGGTCTCACAGCACTTTCCACATTTCACATTTGCTTTGGGGGGAAAAAAACAACTCTATTCCCTTAAAATTGGAGGTCTGGCACAGTGAGACTAGAGCATCCTCATTTGCTGATTCCTGTCACATTCTGAGAAAAGGTAATGATGGAATAATCTCTTAGCTGAATTGTCTCTTCCATTGAAAGGAAGAACTCAGAGTGCGTATTCTGAGGAAGAACGCTGGGGCAGTATGGAGGGGATGGGTTCACACTGGATTATTCCATTCATTTAACCTTTAACAAAGAAACACTGAGGTCTGAACAAATTTATATTGCAGAGTAAATTCAGAGAGTTAATTATAGCTATAATTTGTTTTGTCGGAATGATTTTGAGTGGCTGCTGGGGTCATTCACAGCGTGTTGCTATGGTGACAGGCACAAGGTACATTTCCAAGGCAATGTATGTGTAACAAGTGGCCGGCAGTAGCTCTCCCCTGATGTCAGAGAGAGCAAAAGCCCCCTGGTATACAGGGGACTTATTTAACTGTCTAGGAGCAAAGGCTTGTTTAGGACTCTGCTGGACAATGGGAGGGTTAGTTGATTAAACCCATCTTACTCCAATCCATTCATGGGGCTTCAATGAACTGCTTTGCTTTGAGACATGTAATAATTGATAATTTCATAATTAATTTAAAAAAACCTCAACATGTCCCCACTTATGTTTGCCCAGTTAGGGCTCTCACCCTCCATGGGGTCAGGAACGATGACTACCTTTGTCCACGACGGGTCACCAACAACTTCACCAAGGGCCCGGGACATGGCAGATGCTCAACGTGTGACTCAAATTAGAACTATTTCATGGAAAATGCTGCAGTGGTTAGAAAGGCAGGTTAAGCGTTTTAGGAGAAAACAAAGGAGAAGGGGGTTGTTAGGTACCCATCCTTACAGAACTACTGCTCTGGGCTATTACTGGCCTGCCTTCCGTAAGAACGAAATTCTGAATTAAAATGCCTCTGACGAATGTAAAGACAACACAGAAAGGAAGGCAGCACTCCCTTAACTTCATTTAGAAGATGTGCTTCCTGCTCTCCTTTGGGTCCTGGCTAAAAAGTGGTATCATTTGTACACTCGTTTTATGCCTGTCAGGATCACGCTTTCAGGCCTTGGAATTCATTCGAATCCAGGGAAAACAGAGGGAGTGGGACCTAAGAAACAGACGATTCGGACACAATCTCTTTAATGGAAGAAACAGTTTTCCAATGTTTTCAGCGAAAAGCAAGGCAACAAAGCGATGTTGTAAATGTTAGTCAAATTTCTATAGTTCCTTTCCTACCGTGAAAAAAATGCAGGGACACCTGGAATTCAACAGCCACCCTGACCACGACATTGCAGTAGGTGTTAAGGAAACGAAGGGTCCCAGGATCTGACCTCTGCCTATAAGGAGTTCACCAACTTGTGGGAAGGAAAGGGTTATATATAAAGAGGAGAAACTGGGAAGCTTATTAGGATGGGAATGAATGTTTGTATATTTTGGACAGAGTCATTTTCTGGGAACCGGTCTGAACTGTCTCTAATCCTTGGTGATTATCCACAAAACACCTTCTGCAGCATGACTGATTTATATGAAAGACTTAAGGAAATCATGCCCATTCATTTATAATTGCAACTTGTA